CACCTCACCAGCAGGTCTGACTTCTCTTGAGGACTGTTACTATCACCTTTAACATGGGCTCTTGTCAACAAGGGAGCACATATCATATAAAGCTTTCAGGGTACCTACCCACAATATTCTCCCCTTCCCTCTATTCCTCCTCAGTGGTGACAACTCCTGAACCCATGACTACCATGGGCCTGACCTAACCAGGAGATCCATGAGGAACGTATGCATACCTCACACCACGGCAACTGGACACCGCTCAACCCTGGCCATTTTCAGTATCCAGCTTCCTTCTCAGTAGAGAAAACAGAATAAAGCACTCAGATAAGAGGTGATGGTAATTCAAATAAGTACTCCAAGAGAAGGCAAATGGTCATTCTGTGACAGCAAGGATTTCTAGAGACAGACACATTTACATTGAGGTTTCCTCATCTACTTCCAGTAGGGACTCAACATGAGGTGTGATGGAAAGAGAGCTATCTAATCCATCACCTTCCAGCTGGAAGAAAGAATTTCATCATTTGCCAAACTTTTTTTTTAAAGCTATAAACAGATTCAAGAACTAAGGCTGGATGTAGCCACTGCCCTGGCAGAACATGTCCAGAATTCCTGATCTTGCACCACTAGGGCCTGTCTGAAACTGGAACAGGAATCATCTGCATCTTCTCCAAGAGCCCAGGCCACAGAGTGCCCACTCATGGAAGAGCCAGAGGACCAGCTGTGGATAAGAGATCTCACTAGTCCCAAAGAAGACTCCACAGAACGGGGAAGGTGAGGAACTTCTGAGGAGCTGAAAGAAGGGGGGGAAAGTATTCAGGAAGGATAATTATGCCATCAGAGAATGACTGCTCTGCTGGTGGTGGCCTCTTAGGAAAATGACAATTGTGAGGATTCTGCAGAGCTTTAGTTGCTGCTGAGGCATCATCATTTCCCAGGGTGAAAGCTTAGAAACAGCAGCTTAGCCACGAGAAATAAAAATGGAAATACTGCTAGTGGAGTGCAGTGGAATCAATGAAAAGAGGAAGATAAACTTATCTAAAAATATGCAGAGAGATGTGGTAAGTGAAATCTAGGTTAAACATCATACAAGAATAATTCCATTGTTAAACATTGACCTGGGATTTAAAAACCATTCCGGAGTGCCCTAAATAATAAGCATTTTATCTCTAGATGCTCTTTGTTGACATAGCCCACACATTATTCTGTTAACCCAAAGGCAGAATCTCTGGTGGCTCTCAGTAGCTCCACAGGAGAAAGAGGCACAGTTTCCTCCCATGCACTTTATAACCACTGAAAACATACTGGACAGCTGAGTCCTTTCTGACTCAACAACAGTAAGAATGACTCATCCCTAGATGGTAGGGGAATAGGACTGTTTACATTTTATTTTTGCTCATCTCTCATTTTCTACAATACTAATTGGGTTTATAGCAAAAAAATAAAGTATAAAACTCACTCCATCAAACTAGGAGCCCACAGCTCTCTCCCAATTGTTTTGTCAGCAGAATGGAGTTCTCTACTCTTTGCTTTCATTTGTAACTCTGAAACTAGAATTCTGCAAGGATTCTTCAAGGTGAGTGAGGGGACACTAGGCTGCCTTGACTAGGTTTTGGGGGATCACTAGGAAGCTGTGTAAGGGAACTTATTCTGATGCTTCCCCACCCCCTTATAGGTGCTCACTGGTGCAGGATGGAGTACTATGGGTAAGTCAGGCCAGGAAGGTGGAGCAGAGAGAGGCACAGAGAAGAGCCCTGGGCACTCTCATGGAGGATTCCTTGAGAAGGCATTGGAAATAATGCACTGAGCTGATCAGAGTCTGTGACCGTTTTGGCTCAGCGATTGCCTCTCCATCCCTGGGCATTGTCTCCTGATGCTCTTCTGAGAAGCTTAACCTTGGAGAGGCTGTTTTTAAGGCTCCGTTCTACCCTGTCGACAGGCATGCATATGGACCAAGCAGGACAATTCAGCCTCCTTTACAGCAAGCCACAACAACAAGATGATTCGGTTTTTACTCTGTAAGCTATTTCATGGCCTTCCTATTCTCTCCAATAATGTTGTCATTAATTACCTTTAGGTCAACTCAGATTCAGATTGACCCAGGTTGAAAGTAAGAAATGCCAGAAGAATATCTATTTGTGATTTATTGACTATGAAAAGGCATTTGACTGTGGATCCTAACAAATTGTGACTGACATTGAGAAGAATGGGAGTCCCAGAGTACTTGATTGTGCTCGTGTACAACCTATACCTAGACAAGGAGACTGTTGTGTGAACAGAGCAGGGAACACGGCATGGTTTAAAAGTGAGAAGGGCTGTATTATCTCTTCATATCTATTCAATCGAATGCTGAACAAATTATCCAAGAAGCTTGACTCTATGAAGAGGAATGTGGCATCAGGGTTGGTGGAAGACTCACCAATAACCTGCGTTATGCAGATGACACAACCTTGCCTGCTGAAAGTGGGGAGGACTTAAAATACCTGTTGCAGAAGATTAAGGAATGTAGCCTTTGGTATGGATTGGATATCAATACCAAGAAAACAAAGATTTTCATCACTGGACCAAGAGGCATTATCATGAGGGATGGAGAGGAGATGGAAACTCTCAAGAGCTTCACCTTGCTTGGATTCACAATTAATACCCATGATACCAGCAGTCAGAACATAAGGAGATGCACTGCACTAAGAAAATCTTCAGTTAAGGACCTCTCCAAATTATTGAGGGGCCTCTCCAAATTATTGAGGAGTAATGAAGGTGTGTCTTATTCAGGCCAAAATCTTTATGATCACTTGTTATGCATCTGAGAGCTGGACAATGAAAAAGGATAACAAAAAAGAATTGACGTCTTTGAGCTGTAGTGTTGGAGAAGAGCATTGAACATACATCCTATGGATGGCCATGAGAACAAACAGATATGTCTTGGAGAGGGTGCAGCTGGAGTGCTCTTTGGAGGTAAGAATGATAAGGTTTCACCTCACATACCTTGAGCATGTTGCTAGGAGGGGCTATTCCTTGGAGAGGGACACAGTCCTGGGAAGGGTGAAGAATCGGTGAAGAAGAACCTCAACCAGGTGGTTGTTGTGTCAACCACATAGTGACTGACACAATGTGCTCTAATGTATAAGGCAGTATGAGGATGGCACAGGATAGAACAGGGTTCATATCTTCTGTTCACAAGGTCACTATGAGTTGTACTCAACTCGACGGCACCTAACAACAACAAGCACGTACAAGAGAATGAAATTTTGGAAGATGAACCTGCTATGATAGAACTACCACTCAAAATATACAGTGGCCACCATAATGGACTAAAAATTTGACCATAGCAGTGATGGTGAAGATGGCATGGGACCAGGAAATGTTTTATGCCTTCTATCTGCTCCCCAAATCCTTCCCAAGTTGTTCTTTTCACAATGGGTTACTCACTTCTGAATGGGCCACCACCTTCACTTTTCTCCAGTGAAAAAACCTAAAGATGCTCTCTAAATACAGATTAACTTACTAGTAAATGGTTGAATATTTCGTAGACCTTGTTCTAGATCATTTCTACAGGGACTATCACATTCCTTAAGATGGTAATGTACATTAGCAATCCTTAAGGCAGACAGCATGCCATTTTACCAGGTAAGTTCAGCTTCAATTCTGATAAAATGCTGGTATCTTGAAGGACCAGTGTCCTGAGTAATGAATGAAGAAAAAGAGCACTCTGCTACTTCACAGCCTGCTGAAGACTACCTTCTTCCACAACACTTTGCCATGGGCCTCTAAACTTTCTCTTCCAAGTATTAATATCTTTAATATTGAAAAATCTATATTGTGACCATTGGCCTAGGTTTATTCTGAGTTTCAGTGCTGCCTTTGTTGAAATGCTCCATAAGCCCACAATGGAATATGCATCTCCCAGCACACACAAAGCAGCACATGGGCATTTAAGGGAGTATATCCCTGAAGACTCTACCTCGTGGACCACACAGGTTACCTTCCTGGAGCCAATGGGAGCTCAGCAACACAAAGATGGATAGTGCGGCTGTTATGTTCTCAGCACCTGCATTCAGCATTATCATATTAGAATATAACTTAATATAACAAAATGTGTTCAATTTTCTCTCTCAAATCAAGTCAGAGAAGTCAATGACTAAAATACATGACAACACTATGTGACTACGAGCCAGGAAGAAGTCATCATTTCTTGGCTTTGAATCAATGCCAGTTGTTTAAGTCACTCTGGCACCCATCTGTCTTCACTCCTTTTCCTCCTTCATGCTGCCTCTTGACACTCAAACTGTACCCTCTCCACTTGTAAACTAGAAGAACTGGAACTAGTTATTAAAACTGAGACATCAGAGTCCTGAGCAAACAGTAGTGAAGGAACTACCTTTTACCTGTTGTTGTTAGGTGTTGTTAGGTGAAACTCACAGACATCCTATGAATAACAGACCTATTCTGTCCCACCCTTAACATCTGTGATATACTTGAGCTCATTGCTACAGCCACTGTGTCAAACCATCTTGTTTGGGTCTTCCCTTCCCTGGCCTCTAACTTTTTAAGCATGATGTCCTTTTCCAAGGATTGGGCCCTCCTAACAACATGCCCAAAGTATGTGAGGCAATGCTTCACTAACATGCACCCTAACTGAACGTGCTCCAAGACATTTGCTTCTTCTGGCAGCTGGGACATTCAGTACTCTTGTCTGCAGGACTTCCTGATAGGAGGGAGATGGATCATGGTCAGATACATGCATGTACCATATACAAATGGGCAGACAGACTTAGGGGACATGGCTCCTCAGAACAAGCAAATATAACATTGTAGGAAGAAAAAGACCTATATGTGACCTCATTGAGTGGCCCAGACCTATCATCATTCTGCAAAACAAACAACAAGATTCCTCCAGTCTGTTTCTCAGGCTTGCCCTTAAGTGGCTATGCGGGTTCTGCACCCACATAATGCAAGAGCACTTTCATCTTCTGAGCACACTATGACATTAGCCCTCCTTGCCCAGTGACCGTACTCACCCTCTCCATCGGCACTCAGGTTCTCATAGGAGTCCCAGCGGATTAGAGGGTCTGCAGTGTTGTAATCAACAATCACACTGTGGTCATTGTGTAGATGTTCAGTCCCTGAGTGGGCATAAGAAGACAGTGCAGTGTGAGTCCCAGAAAGGCCAGCACCTCTGTCCATTGGACTGCCTGTGAAGGCAAAGAGCTGGGCAGATATGTGTGACTGAAATGGAGCCTCGGGTTCACTGTTCTTTCCTCAAAGGCCATTGTCTTAAGCAGACACCAGTGCACTTTCAACAAACAAAACACCAGTTATACGTGCTCTGGGGAAAGGTAAGCCAACCATTTGGTTCAGCTCTGTGTGCTGGACTCTGGGGTTTACATGTGACAAGTGGCACTTAGGCCACGGCCTAGACAAACAGGCCTGGAGGGAAACAGGTCTCCACATGTGTGTGGTAAAGGCTAGCTCCTGTATAGGGCTTCTGGTCTCCTTGAGTTCTGTTGTTCTCTTAATCAGCCAGAAGACTCCACGGGTATCTACCTCAGGAGTCCTACACTGAACTTCCCCATGCCTAACTCTACACCCATCTCCCTGCACAGATATACAACACAGAATTAAAACTCTTATGCCTATGGGGGCCCCAACAGAACTAACTCAGGGCCTCATTTATTTTTAAATGTATTTTTTATAGAAGGGGCATTTGTTTTGCTAATAAACATGAGCAGGCTACCACTTTTACTTGATTGGTTGTTAGGATGTGGCCAGTAAAGCCTCCCAGAGACCCAGAGCTGGCACCTCAAAACCACCTGTGTGGCACAGATTTATAGTGACCAGCTTGGGGATCTCACTGTTGCTATGTCTATGTGGCCTTATTTCCTTCAAGTCACTCCTTCCCCACTGCCCAACAGCAACTGAATCCATCCCCAGCATCCTTAACACCAGACCACCTAACCCACCTTGGGCCTTCTCAGGAGTGGCTGAGAAGACTAACTCGATTTTCCCATAGTCTGGAAATCGGTCATCTACAAAAGAAAGCATATTTCAGCAAATTTGGAGATCATGAACCAAAAGCATAGGTGGATCCTGTAGATTCATTTTGTTCTTATATCCCAACAAGTACACCACAATAAACACATTCAGGGGCACAGAAATTGCATATGCAGTTTCTTTGTTTTTCTATGTGATTTTCTCCCTGAGGCGAATGACAATTTTGTCACTAGACGGACACAGTGAAGAGAAGGTAGCAGGGTGGCCTCTTTCTGTACTGTGCCAGGTGCAAGTCTCACCCTTGCTGGCATCATCCAGATCCTCCTTTGTGAACACCAGCCCATGGCTTTGAACTGCCCCGGTGTGAAACTGCAGGCGGAAGATGACGTCCCGTGTGGCTGAGCGGTACTTCTTGTGGTAGCACTTCACCTGGTGTGGAAGAGGAGAGAACAGCACAACAGCTGACCTGCTGAGCTTGTGAATTACTCCCATAGCCTCACAGTTCTCTAGATAGGAGTATGCACCTCCATCTCTCAGGCTTAACAAGCAATAAGCAGAGCTGGAGGGTCACAATGCAGGGACAAATCTAACACCAGGTTTCCCTGAGGACCTGTGCAAACACCTCAGGCTACATGCAGGGACATTGGGCATATGCTTGTAGACTTCACTGTTCCACAGGACTTTTCCTGAGCTTCTCCTGCTCACCATTTTAATGGAACCAACAGTCTGAAAAGACATGAGATAGCCTTCAGATAGACTTCGGATACACCACATCTAAACCCATTCTGAGGAAAAATACCAGCTGTGTGGGAAGATACCTCAAAAATGCCATTGTGTCCTGAAATTTAACAACTGGTTGTTAGGAATATTTCCGATTAAATCTGGAAGGATAGATATCTTTGAGTTGTTATTGAATATCCCATAGGCTGCTCAAAAACCAAACAAATCTGCCTTGGAGGAGGTGCAGCCAAAGTACTCCTTAGATAGAGGTAAGGATGGTGAAATATACATTGAGATGTTGTCAGGAAGAACCAATCCTTGGAAAAAGACATCGTGCTGGGAAAAGTGGAGGGTCAGAGAAAGAGAGAAGGACCATTAATGAGATGGATTGACTGCAAAATTGGTAAGAACGTGCAAAGCTGGTGAGGATGGCACAGTATCAGGCAGGGTTCAGATCTGTTGTTCAGTGTCACTATGAGTCATAATACACTCAATGGCACCTAACACAACATTTTTCTAAAGGAAGAAAGAGTTTGTCCTTACCATGTGTAATAAGGAAGATGCCTTATTTGAACAACATCAAAAACCACCAAGAGACAAATGTTTTATTTCATGTGCTTACATTGCTGGACGTCCTGGAGGTGGTTGGTTAGGACAAGTCTCCACCACAACAGTGATTTAAGACAAAGGAACTAGCACCACTCCCCAGAACGAGGATTCACATGGGACAGAGCTGAGTCCTGGCTGCATGATTGTGCTCCTAACTGGGTGTGAAGTCTCAGTTTCAAGGACATAGCACTACTGGGGTCTATAGCAAGAATCCCATTTCCCAAGCTCTATACAGGCATAGGAGGCAGGACTCCTTGCACTCAGGTGGCTGTGTGCCACCTGGACCACCTGGACAGATCCTGGTTTGTTGCATAACTGACTTGAATGAGCAGAATCTGGGGGTGACTGGAGACAGATGGCCCTTCCACCCCAGAGAGATGAACACTAGCTTTGTCCCACATATGGTCCAGAAAGGCAGGCATCTTTCCAGGAGAGCAGAGCCCAGCAGCAGGTCCACCTCTTCCTCCAGATCAACTAGAGAGCTGGAGGTAGCAGGCTCCATCCCCAAGGGGGACTCTTACTGAGGCAGTTTCCTTAGAAGAATATGGCTCAATGTATCACCAGTATTTCAAAAGTAAATGAGAAAGTAAAAATGCCACCAATTCAACTCCAATTCCTGACAGCCTCATGGATGTCAAGGTACAACTGTGTTTTCCAGGATTTTCAGGGACTGGCTTTTTGGAGGTGGCTCACCAAGTTTTCCTTCTGTGGTTCTTCTGGAAAAACTCAAACCGCCAACCTCCTAGTGGGCAGCCAAGTGTGCTAATAATTTGTACCACTATGACACAACTAACAAAGCAGAGCTCCGGTGGTTAGGGTCCTGCCTGTATGCCAGCGAACAGGAGGAACTGTACCATTAAAGAATGACAGTGCCTCAAGGACTCCATAGCCAGCTTCTTTACGGACCTTCTGGACAGACACAGAGCTGTTTACTTTTGTGCTATTTTCAAGGAAATAGCCTGATAAACAAATGGGGGAGAAAGAAATCCTGAGACCACCTAAGGATGTTTCATATTGACAAACACTCCTGAGTGCTTACTCCTGTTACAGGGCACAGCAGGGTAGGCTGCTATAAACATCAAGGCCCTGTCCACCATCCTGACCTTGGCTAGGTTAGGAAACTGCAAGCCAACATGAATTCCAGGGAAATGTCAAAAGTCTGGTTTATTTCCAACAGCAGATGACACATTAAGTAAAAATCTCCTTTCTCTTATCCTTCTCTGTGCTCCCTTCAAAACAGGCCAGAAGGATCTCAGTCTCCACCAGGGTACCACACGCACTCTAGTCAGAGACCTGACCTTTCCCAGACGCACTGGCCATCTGCCTACTGTGGTGGACACTGCACAGATGCTCCTCCTGGGCCAGAGCACACGCACACACTGTCCAGGACATTCAGGCCCTTTCCCCAGGGAAGGAAGCCTTGGACATAAGGAGTAAAATCAGATGATGGTGGAAAAAGAAGAGTGAGGGCTAGATTCAAGCTGTTCTTGCTCTCAGATCAAAACTTTACAATCAGGGAAGCAAAGATTAAACACAAACAAGGCCATAAAGACCTTGAGCTCATGAGGGAGGCAGATGTGTCAGTCCATGACAATTCTAGTACAGTTGTAGCAAGAGCAGGTGCACAATGCTCCAAGGAGTCAGGGTGGCTCTTCAAAGCAGGACAGCCTCTGGGCAGGGACCTGACAAAGTGGTGGAGTCCAGGCAAACAGCCTGGAGTGGAGGGTGAGGTGGGCGATGCACCATTACTGCAATAAGGATCCCCACAGGAAACAGGGATGCAGAATGTCCACCTGGATGCAACTCCTTTCTGGCTAAAGTACCTCACCTGAATGCTAGGGACACCCTCCCCTCTAGGTCACTAACAAACTCATTCTGCTTTTTCTGCCCCTTCGTTATAGTGTATTCAAATCTATGCTTTTTGTTTTTGTTGTTGTTGTTATGTGCCACTGAATCACCTGCAAGTCATAGTAACCCTATGTATAATAACTCTGAATCTTGTCCTATCCTGAGTCAATCTCACTGTCTCCAACACACCTGACCCTATTACCCCAGGCACTATGTCAATCCATCTCATCTGGGGTCTTCCTCTCCTGCATTTTTCCTCCACCCTTCCAAGCATAATGTCCTTCTCTAAGGACTGGTTTCTCCCGGCAACAAGCCCCAAGTATGTGAGATGAAGCTTCCTTCAAAGCCCTTGCCTCTAGAAGTAACTTGGTTTCACCCTTTCCATGACAGAGCTGTTTGTTCTTTTGTCAGTCCGTGTTATGTTCAATACTCTTCTTCAGTACCACAACTCAAAGGCATCAATTCTTCTGTCATTCCTAGTCACTGTTCCAGCTCTCTGATGCAGCCCACCACACACATTAGGCAAGAGAGCTGTGAAAAGTCTAGAAGAGGAAGAGGTAGAAGAAGGGGAGCTGCCTGAGTCATTAGCTCAGCTTCATGAACAGGCATCCATGGTCTATACTGCAAGTGTTACTCACTCACTCACTCACTCACTCACTGCCATCAAGTCAGAGCAAACTCGTAGCTGATCCTCTAGTACATTTTCTGAGGTTGCAAATCACCAAGAGGAGACTCCTGTCTGTCTCTCACAGAACTACTGGTAGATTTGAACCACAGCTACCTACACACTGTGCCACCATCTCCCTCAAGCATCACCAACACTCAAAAAGGGAAGGACTGGAACCCGTTCCGATTTCACAGGTCTGTATCCTGTCTGATGAGACAGCGCCATGGGATGCCCGTGGATACAGTGGTAGCACTGTTGACCCTCTAAAAACCTACCACCTACATAAGATACATGTCCATCAGCTCCCCCCCCACCCACCCCCCGCAACATTGTATCAGGGGAGGTGAATACTTGCCACATTTGTTTCCTGGGGACTTCTATCTCTAGCTCTTCTCTAAAACACATGGAGAATCTTCCATTTCCCCCTAGGGTAGAATTTCTTCAACACCTCTGGTTTGAACCAGGAGCTGGGGAAGCTCATCAGTATCCAAAGACCTATCAGTTATCAATATCAACTGATCCCATTTCACTTCTACAAGAAGGGATCAGAAATGTACTTTATATCTCAATACTTGTACTTTTAATTGGCTTTTTAGTCACTCATTTATCTAGATTTCCCCCCTAAGCCTCTATTACATTCCCTCAGGTATGTTCTGTATCAATTTGTTATTTTCATTACTAATAGTGTCTTATCACCCTTTCTTTTCAGAATTACCTCCTCTCTACCTATTCCAATTTCATGTTCCTTTTATGCCCATTCAGTCAACAAACTAATGGATGGAGAAACTGTGGCACATCCACATAATGGAGGATTATACAGCATTGCAAAACAATGAAGACCTCAAGAAATGCTACACAGCATGGATGAGACTTGAGAACATTATGCTGAATTACCGGAAATGCACTCTTAACAATACATGCAGACAAAATCATCAACATTCTGAAAGACACAAAGGCCCTGCATTCTTTCTTTAAGGTAAAATGGATTTTAATATGTTTTAAAGCATAGGGTAATTGAAGTCTTTTATTATTTATCGCCTTGATGTTGGTATTCTAATTTACTAGGTCTCCACAGAGTTTCAATTCTACAGCCAACCTGTACATGTTAAAGTATTTCATTCAGGACCAATACTAAGCAAAACTTCACTCAGAGTTAAAAATAATTTCAAATGGGCACGTTATTACTACTCTGTACGTAAAACTATGGAAATAACAAAGACAAAAAGAATAGCTGCAGACACTGTTCATACCTCCAGGTATATTAACCCCAGTTAATCGACTTAATAACGTATTTAGTTCTATTCTATTTCCAGGTGATTTTGTAGTGCCTGGGGTTTTGAAAGCTGCCAAGGAACACCATCTGGTCTCTATTCACTTGGAATAGTGGGGGAAGAAGTATCAGGAATAAGAGGAATAGAGGAAATAGGTGGCTAACAGCCTTCATGCTGTGTTTACCACACCAGAAATAGATGGTGCCCAGCTATCAATACAGAACATTTTAATCAAAGAGTCCTTAGAAGAAATCTCTCCAGAAGGGGGAAAATACACAATAAAATTCTTGTGGATTTCACTCCAGAGACACTCT